GGGGGGGGGTCACACAGCCGCAGCATGAGGTGAATTTTAGGGCGGAGCAGTGGCAAAAGGGGGAGGGTGACTTGAGGTGGGACCGTACCATTTGGAAAGGTATTCTCGGTGGGGGGGGGGCATGCAGGGAAATCAGTGACTAGAATCTCCTCCTGGCTCATGCAGGGATCCAGAAGATGTTAGGGATGAAAATTAATTCTGTAATGACTGTCAGTGTGGTCCGATCCCACCAGCACAAGAGGCACTGAAAATCTCCGTGTTTTGTACATTTCACAAGTTTCAATGTTGTTTACTTTGAAAGACAGACAGAACGATCCTGCTGCCTTTTGATACACACACACACACACAATTTAGGATTCCTAACTTCAACTGACACAGAACTATAAATTACAGTTTGGCAACAAATACAAAAACATTGCTGTTTCAGTTGGACAATCTCATAGGGCACATATCATGTGATCTCGCTCCGAGCTGATTTAACGCCCTGCGTGGCTTGCGCTCCGTCAGCTGCAACTCTAGATTGAAATCAGTGTTGACAAAAGGACAGTACGTTGGAGCCAGTGTGTTTACAGAAGATCGAAATGTACCTAGCGTTACCAAACAACAAGCCTTGTGTCAATGATGCATCAGGCCATGACATTTACATTCAGTTTATTTACCAGATGATTTTATGCAAAGTTTCTGAGAAGGTGCACAGGGACCCAACAAAGACACCACACCGCTAATTGTGGGATTTGAACCAACAACCTTCTGATCATAAACATAGAGTCCAAACCTACGGAGCCACATGCCGCCTCCATGAAAAGTTGGTCTTAGAGGAACGGCGGCTTAATGTATGTAAACGGGAGAGTCATGAGGACCGAGAGAGGGTTAACAATATGGCGGCACACCAAGGAAAGGCAGATGGTGCGATGGGTAGGAGCAGCGGGGTCTGTCCCAAATTTCTCAGCCAGTCCCTGGACGGCAAAGATGGTCTACTCAAACTGGCCTCCCTATAGGGATTTTCCCCAATCGGCCGACCTAAAAGGGATTTTCCCAGGCCTCACATTCCGGGCCTCTCTTCCAGGGAGCGTGGCGACCAGAAATGCGGGACGAGAAAACAATTAACTAACTGCTGGTATCAGTCACTCTGCAATATTCGTGGTGCACTGACACCAAGTAGGGGAGAACATACAGATACAGACACAAACACACACAGATACAGACACAAACACACACAGACAGACACATAAACACACACAGATACAGACACATAAACACACACACAGACACAGACACATAAACACACACACAGACACAGACACATAAACACACACACAGACACAGACACATAAACACACACACAGACAGGCACAAACACAAATGGAGTATCTTTCACACCCGCCAGAACAGGCTGCTTCTCACATCTCTCTCTGCCCCCACCTTCCCCACTGGACTCGGCAAGAGTCCCACACCGAGCTGCTCCGCCCCCACAGCGACCCCCCCCCCCAATGCACCGACAAGGCTTCATAGCTAAACATCTAATGTCACAGTGATTACAAAATATGAGTGAGATTTCACACCATTTACCAGACAGGCAAAAAGTGATGGATTTATAATCTGACTATCAAAGAGGATGCAGATACGGAGCTGACTAGCTGAGTGAGTAACGGATGCATGCAAATGAGCGCATGTCTGGGGAATATCGCAGTATTACAAGGTGGGTAGGACTGCTCAGTTGGTTGTGCTTGTTGAAACGTAATATATATAATAATTCACACAGCTGGATGTTTTACTGAGCTGAAGTTACGAGGCCCCCTTCTGGTAGCTGAAGGAGTGACCTGTCAAATCCCAGCCTGGTTGGTTAAGAAGTATGCAGCAAGCTGAAGATGAGGCTGGGGGGGGCAGGGGTGGGGGGGCAACAGGAGGCATCATCTCAACTGTGAAAGCATGAGACAGGCAAGCCTGAGCTGCGCCGGCAAAGTCTCACACGCAGCCTCAGACACACACAGACAGCACATACACACACAGACAGCACATACACATACACAAGAACAGACAAGCGGAACGTGCACGCACAGATAGAACACGCAGAGACACACAGAACACGGCCACACACAGGTGGGATGTGCATACACCCAGAGAGCGCATGCAGATGCAGACAGAACATGCACACGCTCACAGACAAAACACGAACACAAAGATGTAAGGCGCATGCACAGTTGGAACACATACACACACACACAGACGAAAATTGCTCACGCAAATGGAACATGCACACACTCGCATAAGGATAGAACACGCGCATAATCCGGCCACGACACTTCGGCTCGACCTGATCCCCTCCTTTAACTGCCTCCCCCCCGCCATCACCCCCCGGAAGGCCTCATTAGCGACGCGCTGGTGTTTGCTCTCTCGCTTGGGCCGGTCCCCCGACCCACTACATGTGGCTAATGAAGCCAGACGTGTTCTCCATTTAAGAAAGGAGCTGGCTTTATTCTCGGCATCGCCAATCCGTCCCGGGTGCGAGAAACACCACCAGTACAGGCCGAAAGGGCCTCGTCAGGAAGGACGTCTGCTACGGAAAATACCAGCAATCATACAGCATATTTTACAAAACATAACATATTAATGTTCTAATGGAATCTGATATTATCGTATAGTAAATAATGCAACCTGAAACAGCCCAGTGAATCCCAAATGGATATGTCATCTGAAGCACACTGGATTATAATATATGTTGTATAACACACTGCATTAGAATGCATGTAGAAAAAGGGTTACATAAATCTCTCAAATGACGACAAACCGCTCACCGCATTGTCCTTTCTCTGGCAGGCTGAGAATCGACTTTAACCTGCATCTATGAGTCGCATATTAAATTAATAAACGGAGAGGCTTGACAGCAGGTATAGAGACGCACTCCCTGCTACTGCCCTCTGCTGGACGCCAAGGGGCACTGCAGCCCAGCCCCACAGCGTTCATCACGTCACACATCAGCAATCCAAATGGGTTTTGGGCTGAAACGGCCCGGAGCTGTGCTGGCCCGTTGTACCTGCCAGAGCCTTGATCCGGGATCTCTCAAAGAGCCGCGCCGAGCTGTTCTCGTTGTCCCATTCGGTCTCGGCGGCCAGGTCCCAGCGGTTGTTGATGTCATTGTACTGCTGCTGGATCTCCAGGCTGTCGAAGTCGGTGGGGGAGATGGTGCTCATGGTGACCCAGGCCAAGGGTCAAGCATCCAACCTGGGGGGGCAGGGGGGGGGAGTTAACGACCTTCACAAAAATACCTGTGGCTTGTACAACAAATTCATTTTATAAGATGCTTTGGGTAATTGGGAACAGACGATGAGGGGGGGGGGATTCAGGCACAAATATTCACAGCATCGACCTGAAAGTAAGGGGGTTAGGTGGAAACCCCTCCCATTCCAGATGTTTGGTCCCAGCCTGAAGGTCTGGCCTCAGAAGGGGGCCTGCCCTTAACCCACCCCCCCCAGCCAAGCCAGAGGTCAGCTCTGCCTGTCTAGAACACAGTGTGAGATGGGGATGGGGGGGTGGATTTAGATTGGGGGCAGGGGGGATGAAGCTGCTCAGAGCAGATCCTGTGAAGGCACATCGTGATTCCTGTGAGTGTCCCCCCCCCCCCCACGCTTCCCTGCCCTCTATTCAATGAGTCGACAAACCATAAAGTAACACATTCCCTTAATGAGAACCGGCTTAACGAATCTTTCGTTTTTAACGAGCAGAAAAAGGGAAGCTGACAGAACAGCATGCCTCCCTCCCCCAGCTCGGGAGGGGGGGGGGACATCTCCACCACAGCAGCTTTGAGCCACCCTGTCCTCCCCCCCATCTGCTTTGGACCGGTCCTGACTCTGTCCCATTTAGCGACGGGTCGATCCATCTCAGCTATTTTAAGGTGTGCCTCGGCCCCGGGGGCCATGCTGCCGCGGTGGAGCCGACCGGCGCTAATTTCAGCCACAATACAAATGGAACAGGCCAGTTTCTGGGGAGGTGCGTCCCCGATAGAGCGCGCCGGTGTCACGGCGACAGTCTCCGTCGGAAACTTCGGATGGTGGCCGTATGCTCTCCCCACATTCTGTGATCTGATCCTTAGCAGCTAGACCAGGTGAATTCAGGAGGGGGGGGCGGTGTACAATTTTCATTTTCAGCGGATGACTTTATCCAAGTGGGTCAGACAGTCCCTGGAGCGACTGGGGGTCAAGGGCCTCGCTCAGGGGCCCGGTGGTGACATCACTCTGCCGACCGTGAGATTCAAACCGGCAATGTTCTGATTGAGTGGCACCATGCAACAAATATACAGCATGTGGCTCAGTGGGCTACGCCCCCCCCCAGCGGCTACCCCCTATAGCCAACTCGCTCTCATGCAGTGAAAAGTGAATTTCTCCATGGGGATCAATACAGTATTAATTATTAAAAGTGACAGATATTCATAGCCACAAAAATGCCGGTTCTGATTCGGTTCTGCGGTGTCAAACTTAAGTAGGAGCCAATAGAGAAGTCGAGAAACCAGGAATGGTGGCCTGGTGCTGATCGTACACCTTTGGGCGTGATCTACTGACCATCGGGACGGACTGTGACAAACACCAAGACGCCTAGAGGCCTTGCATCATGTGACAGATGCGGACACCCGCCCCCCCCTCAATTTCCACCCCCCTAATTCAATTACCAGTCCGTAACAGCTTTACTGCACACTACGTGATTAAGAGGCTAACACACGCTGCCCAGACAGACAGAAGCATCTGGGATTTAACCCCCATAGCCTTTCTGCCACTCCAATCCCCTCGCGGCTAAGGTATCGTACTCGCGTTCCAGTTTCAGGTCCCGGGCGACCGGCTGTTGTACCCTTTTCAGCAGATTTAGACCTGCTGTTGTACCCTTGAGAAGAGGGGCTACATTTAATTTTCTTCTATAATGAAAAGCCATATAAATTGGTAAAGGCTAAAATTACAAGCTATTAACCTATGTAGGGCACTCGAACGCATCTACTAAGCAAATAATTTTCAAACAAAAAGAATAACAGCAGGAATGTGCTTTATAAGTGTGTAAGTTTGGTGTGTATGTGCCG